GTCACGTGAACACATCTACCTTAAATCTATCCGTGAAAAAAGCAGGTTTATGTTGGTAAAATGGCAAAGCCTCAACTCTAAATACTTAAAAAATGACTGCAGCAAATGTAAAATGTTGATCTAAATGAAACGTATGGGAAAATAGACTGGGGAGCAAGCCTTGCTCTCCAGTTCCGTTGGCATACGTTTATTTATGAAAAAAAAAAAGATTTTATATTTGCTATTCTATTTTGAAATATTTAGTGTTGACACTTGAACTTGATTTAATGGTCATGTGACCCCAGCTGCAAAGGGTCTATTGGGATCCCTGTTTTTACCACAGCAGGCCCAAAATGTACGGAAATCAAAACAATATGGCCGACTGATCATGGACGAATTCAATAATCAAGAATATCTTCATTCAGATAGCATGGAGTACACCAATAGTTTGCCAAACGTCGATCCTAAACGGAACAGATATCCTTTCTGCATTGTATGGACTCCAATTCCCCTTCTAACGTAAGTATAACTCTAATAAAAGAATCCTAAAATAGTTGTGAGGTTGCCTGCTTGCATTCGCACTCGACTTGTCAGTTCCCTCTAATCACTCTAATCGTTAATTCGTTAACCGATGAGTGAAACTACTAGCGATTCTTATGGAATACTTAACAATTACACCCCGAGGGTGAGTGGACTACGAGCTGATAGCCCAGAGGCCGCCGAAGATTTGAATGTTTGAACCATAGTAACTAAATATACAGTAATTTATTATGTTTGAACAGCGTTCGAATGTTTGACAAGTGATTATCACTCACGTTGGTAAAAACGCTGTTTTGAGTGAAAAAACTTAAAATAGTCCTTATTAACATATCGATTTGACCCACAATATTTCTAAAAGAAAATCAAAGTTGGTGCTTTTACTAATTGAGGACTAATTGAAAATAGACCCCTAGTAAGTAGCCAATCAGAATGTAGGATTTTGTCCACTAATATGGTATGGTAATACGTGTAATGAGTTAAATGATCGTTGCAGTGTAAATAATAATCTAAGCGGTAATTAATAAATGTATGGATCGCCTGAAAACATTTCTGGCTTCAACAGGAATCGAACCCATGACCTCTGCGATGCAGGAGCAGTGCTCTACCAACTGAACTATGAAGCCAACTATATTGGCTAGTGGTCATTTTATTGAGTGAACCCATTCATGCTAAGAAACAAATGATGAAGTAATGGTTCAAACTGTAGTGAATAAATTACGTAATGAATATGAAAAAAATTTGGGCTTCAGTAATATGGTAAATACTAAAATATAACAATACTGTTTAGTTTGCAAACTATGACACATCAAGTCATGATATACAGTGGAATGTTGTAAAAATCCTAAAAATTAAATGTAGGTTTCCCTGAAGGAAATTCTTGCGGCACTCATGAACTTGCAAGATCAATAATCATGTTGATGTCTACATTAATTCTGTTTATTTTGATAGGTGGATATTTCCATTTATTGGACACATGGGCATTGCAATGTCGTCTGGTGTTATAAGRGACTTTGCTGGACCTTACTATGTTTCTGTAAGAAGTGATCAACAATTTATCATTTTCATCTTTAATAATTTAACTTAATTTTGACATATTACTGAAAATAGAGGATATTACTTTGGCTCATGGARATATRGRTTTTATCTTYGAGTGTAGGAAAGATCTCAAYRTGAGAAGATAAAATGCATATCTCCAAGCGACCATGTAATATTCTGTTTATCATTATAATTACATATCAGTGCAAATTTTGTTGTAAAATACATTTTTTTCTTTCTTCTACTATACAGATAAACCTTAAATTATGTATCACTTTTATAATTATTGAATAATATTATTATTTATTAATTATTTTTTGAGAGTACTTATTTAAGTTTCAATTATTATATAGGAAGATTGCATGGCATTTGGCAACCCAACAAGGTAAARTATCAATAACTGGAAGCTTCCAAGGCACATTCTAATCTACAAAATAAATATCTTTATATTAGGGAGGGGAGGGAGGGGGAGGGGTGTGCATTATATCAGTTTTGGCAAATGGTAGGTGCCATCAAAATTATGACTGTCAGTAAATTTATTAGCAAGACAGTTGATATCCTTTCAGTATTTGGTGACAACTATCTAGACATTCATTACTTTTAAAAAGAATATAATAAGTTTTTYCCCCCTCCAGATATTGGAGGCTTAATCCAGCTAAAGTCACAAGTACATCAAGTAGTTGGGACACTGCTGTCTCATCAGCGTCAGACGAGTACAAGCACAGAATGGTGAGTTTCTCCAAATTAGGTCCGAATTTTTAGGTTGATTGACAGATGTCTGTCCCATTATAAATTTCAGGAGTGGATCTGTGGGGGGGGGGTGCCTGTGACACCCTTTTGGGAAAGTCCTCATTAAAAGTAAACATGGAATAGACTCTTAAAAAAACATTAAAAGATCTGCATAATTTGGATAGCAATGGAATCTATATTGAGCACCCACTTTTACATTTCTTGATCTGTCCTTGCATTTCATACTTTTTCACATTTCTGGGAGGTGCAATTGAGATAACAGGATATTCTCTATAGAAACAGCACAGCATTTTGTAAAAGTTGGTGCCCMGTTTGACTGTGGCCCTTACATGATTGTAACTTTAGTTTGTTAGCATTTGACGCTTGATTTGTCTCTTGACAGCATAATTTATGTTGTGACAACTGTCACTCACATGTTGCCATGGCACTCAATTTAATGCAGTATGACAAGTCTTCATCATGGAATATGTTTAAGTTGGCGTTGTATTCACTAGTATTTGGAAAATTTGTAAGGTTAGTTAAATTTGARGGCCCATGTTTTTTGTGTGGTGGGCACAAAACAAATCAAATCAGCCCGGTCAAAACTCACCAAGATCACTCTATTTAATTACCATGATTTTGCAATGGCAATTGTTGTTATTTTACAGTACAAATCAAAGTATAATGCATACCTGGCAATTCCCAGAAAGGGAATTGTGTAAATTCTCAAGCTTACGCTAACAATTTCATTTTTATTCAAATTATTATTAGTTAGAATATTTTTATTAATAATCAGATTTCTGAATTTTTTTCAGTTTTGGTGGATTTCTGAAAACATGGCTTCCATTTGTCATACTCTGTACTGGCATCGCTCTTTTGGTGGTGTTAGTGTAATTRAAAATACTGACGGCTGTCACTGAGACGTTCCAAATTATTGCCATAGAGGAMTAATGTGGRGCATAATAATATCAAATAAATTATTGCATTTTTATAAAGCACACAGCCTAAGTCCCATTACAGTTTAGTGCTGTCTTTAAGGTTCAAAGTTGCATGCTTACAAGGGGGTAGGGGAGGGGACGGTGGGGGTTGCCAATAGACCTTCAAAAGTTGGTTGTGGTTTGAACTTCTGTTTATGCTTGTTATTAATAATTCAGGCCAAACCAAATATCCTTCAAATGCAATAGCAGGTTCAACATTGAGACATGATGTTGAATACTCCAGTTTCAAATTCATAGCGAAAAACCGCTGCTTTATTTGACAACAGATTTTCTTTCGCAAAGATCTAAACAAACACAAAAGAGAGCATGAGAAAATGTCGTTATTACAGTTGCCTTGAAAATTTGCATTTTCCCTGAGTTGAGACTAACCCTGTATTCCCATGAGACCTAAGGTACGATCCTTTGGGGAATAGAGGGTTAGCCTCAACTCGGGGAAAATGTAAATTGTTAGCGCTATTGTACTAACAACATTTTCTTGTGCTTTCTTTTGTGTTTGGTAAGTTCTTTGCGTAAGAGAATCTGCTGTCAAATAAAACAGCGGTTATTCACATTGAATTCGAAAATGGAGTATCAAATATGTTGAATCTAACATCATAAGGTCATTTTTAAATCAATTTTTAAATCATTTTGTTTTATGATGCAAATTAGTGAAGTAGTGCTGGATTCACCAGTGTGATGAAGAATGCAAAGCATCCAGAGTGATATTTGGTCTTTAAACCTATCTGTACTAKTTATCTTCAACATAAGGTTTGGCATGATAATAGCTCAATGTTTGAATCAGTGAAGTTTTAACCATGAGGCAGGACTGGTAGAGTTGTGCCTGCTGCTGTGCCAGGTCCTAAATGCAGGGTCTGTGCAGAGTATCAAAAACAAAATTTTAGGACTTTTATTCCAGGACCAAAATTGTATTTTCAAGGAACATAATCATGCTAATTGTACATTCTTACCTCACAACTACAGCCGAATGGAATAATTTAGAGATTGCTCGTGCTTTGTGATATAGATCTATCTTTAAATTTTCAAGGAGTTTCAAGTGCCCTTGAAAACAAGTTTTTAATTTAAGCACTTTTCAAGGATTTAAGGACCTGCACGGACCCTGTAAATAATTCCTACATCAATCTGTTCAATATCACAACAATGGCACAATGGACACTCAATCAGGGGTTACTTGAAGTGAAGGGTCAACCAATTAAGTACACACTTAGTATTGATTAAGTTCTTTTAATCATTTGATATATTATTATAATACATGTATATCTGAATGCTCCTTTTTATAAAACTTTCTAATAACCATCTTGTAAGGTAGCCTGTAGTCATGRATACACTTTTAACAACTTGGATAGTCTATGGCATAACCATTRCATGGCTACTTTTTAAGATGGAACTGGAAATTGTTAAGTGTTAATAACATGAAATATAACATTGCATGCAAATGTAAATAAAAAATGTAATCAAGCACTGTTTGTTATGGTGGATAAACTTTTTAAAATCAGCATATGTTCTTGTATTGCTTGTTTGTATTGATCTATGGATCAGTATTTCAGATGGTGGAATATTGTTGTACCTTTTATCCATAAATGTTTCTAATTGCAAACTCATTTTTGTCTTTTAAAGAAAGGTTGAGCAAGACTATTGTTACTTGTAACATACAAGGTGACAATACAAGTAGCGAAAAACATAGCCACAACATGACAACAGATTCAAGTTCAAAACAATGTTTCTTTCTTTTCCTTTTATAATAAGAGAATAGTCTCCTTGGAACACGATTTCCATCCTTGYAATCTCGTCATTTTTTTCCTTTGCTTTAGTGAAAGTGGAACAGACAAACTTGTTGCATATGAAGTGTAATACAATGCAGTCTKCAGTAGCAAAGCCAGCAATATTATTAACTGAACTTAATCATTATAAGACGTTCAAGTTTAAAAYAGTGCTTCTTTTGGTAGCATTCTGTTTATAAATGAGCCAATTTTGATTGGTCATAGTGTGTAATGTAGTCACCTAGGTGTAGACAGCCATTTACAGACTGCATTTTACAGCTTTAAAAGGTTTCAATTGTTACAAGAAGTTGAAGTTTAAAATAATATTTCTTTCACTGGATGCTAGTGCCGTCATAAGTAAGCCATTTTGGATCAACTTATGCAACATAGACACAGCMACAGTTCAACTTTACAGCTCTAGTGYTAACCATATCAAGKTTTCAATTTTAAGACATTGAAGTWTAAAATATCATTTCTTTCACTRGTTGCTTGTCCCTTCAKTAGTAAGCCATTTTGGGTTAACTTATGCAACGTAGACACAACCACAGTTTGAACTTTACAGCTCAAATGATAACCATATCAAGGTTTCAATTATTGTTGCAAGATGTTGAAGTTTAAAATAACAGTTCTTTCAAAGGATGCTAGTGCTGTCAAGCCATTTTGAGTCAACTTACGCAGTGTAGACACAACCACAGTTTGAACTTTACAGCTCTAGTGTTAACCACATCAAGGTTTCAATTGTTGCTAGAAGTTGAACTTTAAAATGTTTCTTTCAGTTGCTTGTCCCTTCACTAGTAAGCCATTTTGGGTCACCTCATGCAATATAGACACAGCCACAGTTGAACTTCACAGCCGTAGTGCTAACCTTATCAAGGGTCAGACCTGTGCACTCTAAGTGATACCATTTCTTACAATAGTCACATTGCACCCATTCCACTAGCTCTTCTCTATCATGGGGACGTARACAATCACTTTTAAACCCACAAGTCTCAGGGACATTCTTTTCATAGTTGGACGTGGCCTTTAGAGATTTTCTCTTCTTTGAAGGTCTTCCCTTTTTGGGTCGCTTTAAACTTTTACCTTAAACACATAATAATTTGATTGTAACACTTATAAAAACTCTTAAAAGCGGTTAAGAGTGGTAGTGTAATAGTCCTTTACCCTGACTGAGGACTATTTAGCAATTAGACCTCGAGGTCGAGTGGACTACGAGCTATAGCCCATGAGGCCGAGAGGTCTAATTGTTTTAGTATAAACATACTAATCAGTCAAATAATGAAAACAAATTGAAATATCCTT